GGGTCTGTGAAAAGTAATGACAGATTAGAGCAGTGATGAGGTGGGGGCCAGGCTATGTTAGTAGTAATTGTTTTACATTCACTTCCAGGGCAATGGCCCCATGTCCAGTTCTATATAGAGACTGGAAAGAGTGGAGTACAGAAACCCTGCAGATAATCAAAACTGCAACCATTGTGGAAGCTTAGGAAAACAGAGAGGCTTCCCCATGTCAGACTGTAAAGACAGTCCCATGTTATGAATGAAGTCTCCAGGGAGCAGCTCATGTTTCTCCACAGAAGGCAGCTGTTGAGGCAGCAGCGTCTGTGGTACGCACGGCAGGGGAAGGGGCTCCATTTCCTTCTGAGAGCTCCCTTCACTTCACTGTTGGGAGGAGGGGGGATGTTCAGCTCCGTGCTCACTCCCATCCTGCTGTGCCTCACACCATGGGGAGAGGTTCAAACATCTTGACAGCTGTCAGGTCCCGAAATGTGTTTTCCTTAGGAAGCAAAGGCTGATAGAGGCCCAGGATCACTTCTGTTTTAAAAGTTCCTAGTAACCTCCCATTATCTGCATTGCAAACCATAATGCCCAAAAATAGAGAGAATATGGGGAATATTGTCTGCCATGGAGGCAGTGGGAGGGTGGGAAAATGGGGGTATACTGGGGATATTGGTGGTGGGGGATGTGCACTGGTGGAGGGATGGGTGTTTGATCATTGTGTGATTGTAACCCAAGCATGAAAACTTGTAACTATATCCCATGGTGAATCAATAAATTTGTTTTAAAAAGAAGAAGCAATGCAAAATAAGATCTCTAAACTGGTTCACATATTTTTTTAATGTTTGAATAAGCAAAATAACACTTTGATCTTTATAAATATACATTTATATGTGTTTGTGTCAGATCATTGCAAGAAATTGTAAACTAGTCATGATTTAGCAGAGCATCCTAGACTTAACACGCTCTAGACCTTGGCCCCATGACTGAAGACACTCTTCTGAAGGGGTAGGGAGTTCATTCTGCGGCTAATGACTTCCCAGAATGTGAGGCCGAAGCCTACCAGCTCTCCCAGTTTCTCTGAGTTGTGCAGGACCGTAGAGAAATGGAGACCTTGTACTCCATCTGGGCCTCACTCCCATTCCCACAAGCCAGCTTATTGTTTCCTCCCTGAGGATCTGACTCAGTCATAGAACACATGACGTTTGAGCGTGAGGCTCTAGGTTCAACCCCTGGCTCTATAAAACCAATCTCTCAAAGGTCAAAAAATTCTTCCTTGGACCCGGACAAATAGTACAGTGAGTAGGGCACTTGACCTTGCATACAACTAACCCAGGTTCAATCCCTGGCATCCCATATGGTTCCCTGAGCACCGCCAGGACTGATCCCTGAGTACAGAGCCAGGAGTAACCCTTGAGCATTGTCAGGTGTGGCTCAAAAACAAAATAGAACAAGATTCCCCTTATTCTGAAGGCAAGAGAAATAAGAAAGCATACAATGAATGTCTGAGTCATTGTGTGTGTGTTTATGTGTTAGATTACATTAGTCTAGCAACTGACCTGGGAAATGTTAGCCTTATTCAAAATAATTGTGAGTCACTGAAACTTCTTGTCATGGCCTGTTCAGAATTAGTACCCAAACCTTCAACTATAAGCCTGAGCCCCTTCCAGTATTAAAGTGACCATTACATGGAGCCCCAGGGAGGAGCCTAATCAAAAGTGAGGCTGGCAAGGAGCCAGGGACACTGCTCTCCTGCAGGCTCAGAACTGTTGGGGCAAACTTCGACCTGTCTTGTCTTTCCTCCTTCTCCTCCTCCTTCTCCTGTTTCTTCTCCTGGCTGGCTAGGCTCAACTCTCCTCCTTGCTTATGACACTTATTTTTCCATCCACAGCAAAACTATTCACATCAAAGTAATTGATGATGAGGAGTATGAGAAAAACAAGAATTACTTCATTGAGCTGATGGGCCCCCGCATGGTGGATCTGAGTTTTCAGAAAGGTGTAGTACCTGGCCCTCCTCACTAACATTAACATTCTTCTCTCCTCTCTCTTTCTTCCTTTCTTCAGCCCATTCGTCTCATTCTCCTACCTTTTTCTCCTGCCTCCCTGGTTCACTTTCACCCTTTTCCTTTCTTGCTCTCTCTCCTGCCACTCTCTGCTCCCAGCTCTCTCCTAACTAACCTGCCAGCCTGTCACATGGTTCCTGCAGGGGGTTGCTCAAGAGCCAATGGCATGAGTGGCTGGGCAGATGGGTCTGGTAGAATCAAGGGGAGGAGGAAATGAGGGGGAAGTGAGGAAGAGAGAATCAGCCCAGAGGACAAAATATAGGAAACCTTGGCTTCTGCTAGATGATTTGGTTTCCAGGAAAGGTGAAGACCAGGCAGCATAGCACCAAGCAGGAGGGCAGCTGTGAGAACGTGGCCCAGGGTCTATTCTATTAGCACTATTCTCCAGGAAAAAGCAGCTAGTCTCAGTATATTGTCCTGAGATGACAGTCCCAGGATGCAGAGAACCAATGCTTTTGGATTTAGGTCAATTTGTGGCATAAGCTAATCCCCAAGGCAGGCCCTAGGAGCCTTCTTAACTGGTATATCTTTGCTCTCAAGATGGTTTTCCCCCCTAGGACTCTGACTGAGCTGAATGCTCCTGTTTGAGTTCCAGGTCTAGGCCCCAAACCAATGAGCCATACTTTGTTTTCTAAAGGATCATCCATGTAGAGAGGCTGAGAACAGGAACAGTGGGGTGGTGGATTCTAACTTGCAAGGAAGAATCTCCCAGAAGTCACAGGGTATTTGCCTTCCACGAAATGAATCCACATGCCTCAGGCCTCCTCTAGGCAGAAAACCTCTAGAAAACTCTCTTTGGGTTAGAATATACGGGTTCTGGGGACTGCCCTTCATTTGGGTGCTTTTCCTTCCTGGTCCCAATCATCCCCTCCTGATCATACCCCGTCACAGAGAACCCACTTACCATCCTTCTGCAGCATTTTGGGTCAGGCACAAAACACACAGACAGTCCACAGGTCTCACATCTAGGGCCAAGAGAGAAAGACCCAGAAAATGCTCCTTGAAAGTTATAGGACTTTATCTTTTGTCCATTGAACAAGGTATTAAGTAACCCAAGGTAAAGGTAAAGGTAAAGGCCCTCCCGTTGATCGTCGATTTGCTCGAGCGGGCCCAGTAACGTCTCCATTGGAGACTTTGTTGTTACTGTGTCTGGCATATCGAATACTCTCGGTAGCTTGCCGGGCTCTCCGAGAGGGGCGGAGGAATCGAACTCGGGTCGGCCATGTTGGCCGCTTGTAAGGCGAACGCCCTACCCGCTGTGCTATCGCTCCAGCCCAAAAGTAACCCAAAGGTTAACAAAATTTACTCGTAAATACACACACACACACACACACACACACACACACACACACACACACCTCATAAGTACACAGGAAGTTCTACATCCAACAGTCACCTTAGATCAACCTGCCACTTTACTGAGAGCATTGAATGCGCTTTTGGTACATCAGAGTACTGAGGAGACAGTTCAGGTGACCATTTATTAGCACCTGTTTGCTTTGAGGCCATTTAGCTCCTAGGCCAAAGAAGAAGCAAAACAAAACAACCACAAAATAGCATAACATGCTGTAGAACATGCCGATACCCTGGTCCATGAAGGATGAGAATCCGTTCAGGAATGTCCAGGCCCACAGAATAACATCCAAACTGACCATCAGGGATGGGAGGGCTGGAGTGATAGCACAGAGGGTAGGGCGTTTGCCTTGCATGCGGCCGACCCGGGTTCTATTCCCAGCATCCCATATGGTCCCCTGAGCACTGCCAGGGATAATTCCTGAGTGCAGAGCCAGGAGTAGCCCCTGTGCATTGCCAGGTGTGACTCAAAAAGCAAACTGACTGTGGGGTTGAGCTGGCCATATGCCAGCTTTGAGGGGAAGTGATTCTCAGGGGGGTGTGCCTCCCTGATTGATCTGCCATGAAATCATCAGTGATCTGTTGCATGTCTTATAAAGAAGCCTTGCTTTGTTGAGACACCCAAATCTGAATCGGAGCCTCCATTACCTTGTTAGTCAGCATTGAAGATGACCAGTGTGGGATCACTGTCCTTGAGAGAAGAAGTTCAATGGAGATGTGCCAGTTGATGGTTTATATCATTTCACCTCACACTTGCCCAAAGTGTATCAGTTGTAAATGTTAAAAGAATTTTAGGTCATGTTGTGATTAACGTATATTTATTTTAACTCCCACCAACAATGCCCTCTGAGATAAAAATGAACAAAACAATAGAATTATGCCTGCCTGCCTTTCTCTATCTCTTTAATTTCCCTTCCTCACAAAAACTTTCCTTTAAAAACTTTCTTTATGGGCCGGGGATATAGTTCAAGTGGTGTGCAAGGCCCTGGGTTTGATTCCCTATTCCACATAACCTCTCAAGCACAGCCCGTAGACTCAAGTCCTAAGCACCACATTGAGACTCTCTCTGCCCCACTGAAAATTATTTCTTTATGAGGTTCTCTAATGAAGTGGGTACAGACACAGAGAAGGCATACAAACCCTTACCTAAATTCTATTGGCATGTTTTCTGGGGTAGAAGAGCCATTGGCCATTCCCAAGAGCCAATGAGATATCAATTACCATGTGACAGCCAATGGAATGAGCTGACCAACTCACTTCCTACTAACCATCAGCAGGATCTAAAACCACTCTTCCCCTCCATCATCCCTTTGCCTTCCCACCCCCCACCCTGCTGTCATCCCAGATTCCTCCTTTGCCCACTTCTCCGTGCCTCCTGGCTCTCTCCCCCTCTCACCCATAAGGACGACTCTGACCACGGAGACAAGAAAAGAGTCTTTTTTTCCTATAAGAACAAGAAATCTGCCATAGTCCTGCCAAAAGCCACCGCGGTGGGACTGGGCTGCATGTGCGAGAGTGATGGGGAATGATTTTAAAGGCTGTGCTCCAAGTGACCAACCAATCTACCGACCCAGTCGACACACTCTCTCTCTTGTTGTCCCTACAGGAAAACCGTAAGGGTTAAAATAGTAGATGAGGAGGAATACGAAAGGCAAGAGAATTTCTTCATTGCCCTTGGTGAACCGAAATGGATGGAACGTGGAATATCAGGTGTGAGATTCTTTTCAAACCAAAACAAAACAAAATGAAAAAATAAAACAAGAACTACAAAAGGAAAGAAAAAAATAAAAGCAATAACAAAAGCAATTATTTTCTCCACCCTTTTCTTCCCTTTCCTCCTTCTTCCTTTTGACCAATGGACTTTTTTTTTTTAATTCTTTTCCCTCCTGTATTCTCGCTCTCACCCTGTTTCGGTATCATCTCTGCCTCCTTAGTCTTAGCTTATTTCTAAGTCTTCCTTTCCCAACTTCAGGGCAGTTCGTAATTTTGTGACCCTAATGAGTTCCTTCCATCTTGCGCTCCAATGATCTGGTTACCACTGTCCCCTGCACTCTCCCCTCATACCCCTTCTTCGGCTCCCCACCCACCAATCCCCACACAAATTATAAAAACCTGTAAATGTGGAAACTCCTTGGTGGGTGGGGAGGAGAAGAAAAAGAAAGGAATGTGATGCATGCTTGTCCATGCCCCTTCCCTGCCTTCTCCCTCTGCCCTCCTCACTCTCTGACCTGGATGGAACAGGGAGGGTTTGGGGTGGGGAAGGGCCTGGGTTATAATGCCGCTTTGACAGTTTTATGCTGCATTACTTTCCTTAAGTGCTTGGCAGGTTATTCACTTGCAGAGTGCCCCATAAGTCCCTTTGCCCTTCGTGAAGGTAAGTGTTTTACCTGACTATTACACAGTTGGGTAGACTGGGGCACAGGAAGGTTTACTGTTTGCCAGAGGCACAGCTTCTTGAGAGCAATCTGAGTAAGAGCTGATTTCCGAGGAAGTCACACAATGTGGAATCTTCCCTTTGGCATCTTACCCCGATCTATCCTAGCTCCTATTCCTAGCTCAAGTTAGGGAACCTTATTCAAGTCACTTTAAGATCGTGCAACCTCTAAAGCAGAAAATTGAGAATCTATAAAAGGAACTAATGGCACATATAGAAATCTTCCTAGCCAGAGGCCACTGGAAAAGGATTGACACTGGGTACTGAGTATTCTTTTAAGAGCTTTCTAGCAGGAGAAGGGACTCCAAATGGTCTAGGTGATATTGGTTCCCAAGAAAAAGGAATTGGATGGTTCATGCCTTTTCTTGGCATCTGCAAGCAACCCTCTCACCCAGGTCTCAAAATAACTTTTATCACCAGACAAATGGCCTTGTCTCCTGTTGTCCTTGGAATACATCTCCTAGAGTAAGTGCTCAAGGGGACCCAGAGAGATAGTACAATGGGTAGGGTGCTTGCCTTGTATGTGGCCAACCTGGGTTCAATTTCTGGCTTCCCATATGTTTTTCCAAGCACTTCCAGGAGTAATTCCTGAGTGCCGAGCCAAGAATAGCCACTGAGCATTTCTGGGTGTGCCCCCTCCTCAAAAAAAGAATAAGTCCTTGAGTTCAATTTCTGTGGGATTGATTGTGTTTCATCCAAAGCCAATGTAAGGAAAATATCTCTTTCCTTGAAGAAAATGATGTAAAGACTTTGAAAGTCTTAGAAGGACTTGTGTGGGGGATAATAAGGATGCTCTTAGGAGAGAGCAAGAAGAGGAGCCTCACACGCCCCTTCAAAAGAGATAGATGGTTGGAGCCTACTGGAAGATGAAACAGAGAGACCCATCTATTGTCCTCAAAGCGGGTGATTTCTTTTGCAACTACTACATATTCATGAGACAAAAGGCAGCACCAAGACCTTCCACTCAAGGATAACTAACTGCCCTCCCAAAGGCTCATCAAATGGTATTTCTTGACCTGTATGATTGATCAGTTTTCATTATCTCCCTGGGACTCTCTGGGTGATTCTATGCCTGTACTGCCTGGATAACCTGGGAGGGGGTGGGGGAAGAAGAAGCCCATGACTCACTGTCTTCCATGAGTCTAACTAAGGAAATGTGCAGGGAAAAACAGAATGTCTCTGCTTTCATCACTTCCCAAGAGCTCTTCCTGCCAATCTTCCAGTTCCTGCCACTGAGAATATTCTCAGAAATGTCTTCATGCCTTCCCTTCCTGACTTCCATCTCCCTTTGGTATTTATCACACATCCTCATGATTGGTTACATCACAGACAGTGAAGGTTATCGTAAACTAACTTCATCAATTTCCATAGTCCTGTCCACTGAGGTGCACACGAGGCAGACCAAAGTATCAGCTGGTGTGGCTAGAAAAAAGAAAGTGGTTAAGACAAGAAGAATGGTTTGGGGATAACCATAAAGCAGATTCTTTTCTGCCTCCCTAACAAATCTCCATCAGCAACTGAACAGAGGAGTGAACTTAACATAACCCCTGTGTTCCTCAAGAAGACCAAGCATAAACACCTTTGACTGAACCCAATTTTTAGACTCATTTTATGCACTGAATTCTTTGTACAAGATATCTGCAAAGCATATCCTGGATGAGAAGACAAGTATTTCATCAAGTTACCAGTGTGCTCTGCTTGAGAATCTTCTCAGTGACTAGCATGCCACGCTGAGAGAGACACCATTAGGGAATTTGATCATATTCTGGTCTCCTGTTATCTTGTCTATCGGCTTAATCTTCATCCCCTCATTTCTTCCCAACTTTTAACATCAGAGCATAAGTTGAAAGGTCATAAAACTTGATTGCCTAGACTCCGAATCCAGCGAAAACCCATTCAGATCTCTGCGTTCCCTGCTGCTCTCAGAGTGAGATGCTGTACAGTGGAAATTGCTTTTCATTATTGCTGCTGCCTGTGAGAGTTTGGGGCATTCAGAACAGTATAGGCTCTGCATGGCCAAAATGACAATTGCATTACAAAGAAAGAAAGAAAGAATAATGAGTTTGAAATAGGAGATTTTTCTTCTTGGCAAACAGACTTCAGACTCTGGGATTTCTGGGGGGAAGGAAGTAGAGAGGATGACTGGGACACATGGCTGCCCAGGAGTCGAGCTGGTGCTGAAGTTTGAAAGGAGAACCTTGAAGAGCGACACTGAGCAGTACAGTCAAAGCCTATAGTCAGGGCCTTGATCTGGAAACAAAGTCAGGACCCCAGTCTAGAGACAAAGCTCCAGGTGGAAAAGGAAAATTCTCTCGCCCAGGAGCCCATTTGTGCCTCCTCTTAACGCATCCGTGGTAAGCTGTTGTGGTACTTCCACATACACACAGAGCTATGTTGTTTTCTGCTTATGTCTAGAGGGGGTCCAAGCAGCGATAAATGACTCTCACCAGATCCTGGGGGTGAGCACAGCAGGAACTACAGCTCTGGCATCTCAGCAACAGCAGTCAGTAGGGAAATAACCTCAAGCATCATGACAGTAAATGCCCCAAAGGTATCATGTCCCATAAAGTTGGTCTATCTATGTGGCACTGACACATCTCTAAGTGCTAAGTGGACAGCCTCAGACTCCTATAGACAGTGACTAAAGAACAATACAGCCCTTATTGACTTCAAGCCCTCTCCCTGCCATAAGGGTCACCCTGGGGGTGGGAGGCATGGCTGTGCACAAACTAAGGTATTAGATGCATTTTTAGAAGAGTTGCCTCCAATTCAAAGTTGGCCTATCTGAGTACACTAATGTGCTTGAGTCTCTCATCTCAATTGCAACTTGGAGGCTAAGAAGGGAGCTTGTCATGAAAATTTGTAGAAAAAGCAGAAAGTGCAAGTTTTCTTATTATCACCCACCTACTTACCTATCTTGGTGATCTATTTGTGTGTCATCTATTTGTCATCTATCACGATGTGGTAGGTAAGGAAACTCAATTCATTGTCGCTTGGAATTCCAATGGACAGTATCAGGAAAAGTGAACTGATGATAGAAAACATAAAAGTACTGGATTCAGGGGCTGGAGAGATAGCACAGTGGGTAGGGCGTTTGCCTTGCATGCAGCTCACCCGGGTTCGATTCCCAGCATTCCCAAATGGTCCCTCAAGCACCGCCAGGAGTGATTCCTAAGTACAGAGCCAGGAGTAACCCCTGAGCATCTCTGGGTGTGACCCAAAAAGCAATAAATAAATAAAGTCCTTCCCATAAAATATTTTTAAAAACTACTAGATTCATATGTCTTCAGTGGCTGTGACTGTGAATGGTTGTATCACAGGCCTAGATTGCGTGCCTAGAGATTATTAGAGAAACAATTTACAGAAATTTCCTACCCTGATTCTTTCCTCTGCATCTTCAGTCCAGGAGTATGTGGCAGAAAGTTCTCACAAGAGTTGGAGAATGACCAAACAATAGACAAATGAGAATGTGGTCACAAGAAATCTTTCTTTAAAAAAATGTTTTTGGACCTCAGACTCAGAGAACTGAGCATAAATACAAATTCAGGAGTTGGGAAGCACCTGTGCTAAATTTTAATTTTAATTTAAAATTGATTCAACTTTAATTCAACTTCTCAGCCCTTTTGAGGGCCTTGGCTTTTTCACCTCCCTTCCATGTATAACTTCCAGCAAGAGTGAATCTCTCAGGTCCAGAATGTCTAGATTTATCCTATCCTTTCTGCAACACAGAGACCATCATCCAGAGAAGCAATGCCACAGAGTCTATGGGAGGAAAAAATGGAATTGCCAAAATTGTCAGCAGACTACTGTCCTTTATTGAACACCTGCTAACTGCACTGACTTCACTGAGTATGGAGCAGAGAAACTGGCAAAAGTTCATGATCGCATTCTCTGCGTTTTATCTATTAAAAGGACTTTCAAATGTAAGGGGGGCATTCCACAGGACTTTTTTAAACTAGATTATTCTTTTCAAAATTCAGGTCAGCGTTATTGCTGGGAACATATTTGTGGCTGGAAAGGTTGAGGTCACTGGGAAACCGAGTACAGTCTAGTCTAATAATGAAGTCAGGGATAGGAGCCAGAAGCAGACACTATCCCACTCTTGCACACCACTACTAGGTGCCTTCTGAGCTCCAGTTCAAGCACCAGAGTCTTTTTCGCTCACCAGCCAACTACTCGTACTTTAATCATTTCCATGGTAGCTGGATTCTTGTGTCTTCTTTACAGAACGAATGGAATAACCTGATCCCCTAGAAGATGACAAACGGCTAGCTCCGTTTCTGCTCCACCCACTCTCCTTCCTCTATTGCCCAGAGAGTTGCAAGGAAGCTGTGAGGAAAACTCTGATGGCGGCAGGACCCCAGGGCTCAACACTCTCTCCCATGGCTTATCCCTTTTGCTATTGCTGCTCGTGCAGCGGCTGCTGCGCATGCTCCAAATGCTGCCTTCTGCATGTGGCTGTGGACTTCTCACTTACTGAGCTCGCTGCTTTCCTTGTGCTGCCAGCAATCACAAAGCCTGGGAACCCTTTCAAGATGGGACCTTAATGTTCTTTCCTTTTCTTTCTTGCCTTTGTCTGGTATCCATTTGCCAACAGCGCTCCTGTTGTCTCCAGGTAAGAGGTGTCTTGCCCCCTTTTCTACTTGCCAGTGCCATTATTAAGCTTAAGACCACCGTTCTTTGATTTATCTAATAGGAACCACGGGCTGACATTAACCTTACAAGTTCTCTCAAGGACTGGGAGATTGATTTGCCCGCTTACAGTAATCTTGAAAAAATCGACAATTTCTTGTGCACCGTTTCTGTGAACCTGGGTAAAGCCATAGCTGTTCTCTCTGGGACCAGGAAGAGAAAGAAAAGGAGAGGAGAGCCTTCTCCTGAGTTTTAATTCATCTGCCCTCTTAGGGACAAGAGAGGATGTGAATCAGAGCTCAATATCCTAATAGAATTGTGATGGGATTTGAAAGAAAACACTTTGATCTCAGTGGATCCCGAGAAAATAATCAGCTACTGTGAGAACATAAAAAGAAAATCTTTGACGATATGGAATTTTATTTATCCCAAAGATTTTCTATTTCATCCCAGCCAAGATTGCCAGAACTTTGGTTAATTTGTAGTTGACTCCCAAAGTCATATGTGCCATAATAAAAAGAGGAGTTGAGGTATTATGGAGGTATTATGACTAGGTATTATGGCTAGGAATAGAAATTTAAGGAATTTATTTGGAGAATCTCATGCAGAATCTTGATTTTACCTTGAGAGTATGTGTGTATACATGCAATCTGATCATAAAATATATCCAGCTTTGTGATCCAGCAATCATGAAAGTATCTACAGTATATTATAAAATACTGTAACCCTTTGTACAGTCATAGTGAGCTATACAGGATATTTAAAAATATTTATAGAAAAGTTTGCATTTCATTGGTGCTTTTAACATATGAAAACTTGAGGTCTTTTAAGAGGTAGACGTCTTAGAGAATTCATGAGTGTTCGAAGTCATTATAGGTTACCCTTGGGTTTAAGAAAGGTATGCAGCGTCCATAGGAAGAATATTTGTCTCCTTAGAGCCTTAAATGACAAATGTAGGTAAATATCTACATTTTCTCTTTCTGAAAAAAATTTAGTGCACCTTCCTTGGCATTTTGCTTTCTTCTTCTACCAACAGGATAAAACTATCTCCATACCTATATATTCCACTATTCTGCCAGGGTACTGAAGTCAGAGAATTGGGTGTTCCTTCACTCATCATCTAGCCTGAGACAGACGGTATTTAGTCTTCTTTGTTACAGCTCTTGCCTCTATTTTTCACCAACTACAAAAGGCATTTGGTAAAGATTATTATTACTTAAGAGGACGGAGCAATAGGTAGGCATTTGCCTTGCACACAATCACCCTGGGTTTGATCCCTGACACCCCATATGGTCCCCCAAGCACTGCCAGGAATAATTCCTGAGTGCAGAGCCAGAAGTAATCCCTGAGAATTGCTGGGCATGACCCAAAAAGCAAAAGGAAAAAAGGTTGTTATTTAAGTTTCTCTATACTTCAAACATTTGCACAAATATCAGTCAAAGCTAACTAGGAAAAGATGAAGTGATTTCCAAGATCTTTCCATATGTAAGCATTTCAAGTAGGAATTTTTAGTTAGAATTTAAATTCACTGGAAATCTTGAATCTTTGAATTTCCCTGGATGGACTGGTAAATATGATTAACAGTACCTGATAGTGAAAGAGAGAGAGTAAGAGTATTCATTCTGAACTGCATCACAAAGCCCAGGAATCTGCAGGGAGATCCTGGGCTGTACTTGCTCTACATTTTCCTGAGGATGTCTTTAGTATATACATGGCAATCTATTCTGCCTGGCCTGGCAAACTCTTTGTTTATCCAGTGTTTGTTCAATCTTCCATCCTGTTCATATTCTCTCTCCCTCGCACTCCTCTCTCATCCTGTTCCTAGATATGAAGGTTGTGTTTAGTCTGTCTGAATATCAAGCTCACCTGTTGTTTATTCTCTTACTTGAAAATCTGAAGATTCACCAGGGATCAAAATTAATATGTTCTTCTGGATTTGAGATGTAAAACTTTCTCAAGAAATAAGCTTGATTTGAATGTAAAGGGATGATTTTTAAGAAGAAAAAAGTCAGGAATTAGTCACAAACCATGATACTAAATTATAGTTGATTTAAATGAATATGTATGTATATACGTACATTAGTAATATATACATTACAACATATACATATATATTTATTACATACACATATATATGTATATATGGATAGACAGAAAGAGGAAGACAGGGAACTTCTGAGTGACTAAGTTCCAAAGATAGAGGATGGTTATTATTGAAAAAGATTCTGCAGAGAGCTATATGGAAAAACCTGACTGTCACCACACAGGCTGGCAGCTCAGTAGGTAGATCAATATTCTGACAGATAGATATAGTGTTGTATTGATAGTTGGACAAGGGGTTAGGCAGGTACATTTATATGTCGCTGGAGAGCTCATTATATTGGTATAAAGTTCTTGTGATACATGCAAAGTATGACAGAATTTTCAGACAGAGGGGAGTGAAGTAATTCTGTCTCTGTTAGAAAAGGCTTTGTGATATGGTGCCAGAATATGCAGGAAGAGGAAGAGCACCCACAAATTTAAGGAATCTGTGTCTTTGTCCAAATATTTTTCTCAGAGTGGTTTGTAGTCTGGCTTCTAGGGTGGCTGAGTTCATAGGCAGGCAGGACCCTGGATGTACCCAGATTTACCTTCAGAATTAACTAATAAGAGGCCCACAATTCATGGATTAATTAAAGTCAGAGGGCCAGAGGGTGTTTGCTGGTTTTGAAATACACAGAAGGACAAAGATCTTTGATTTGTTTCCTAAAGTGATCACTAGAGGAACGACAGAACCATGGACAGCTCCTGGACATTGAGGGATTGAAGGATTTCCCTCCCATGTCTGGTTCCAGAAGCAAGTTAAGCAAGCAGCTCAGGAAGCCTACCCACCCTCCTATCATCCTTACTCAGAACAACCAAGGAAATCCTTACATAAAGTAGACTCCCTGTTTTATTTTTATATGCTTAGTATACAGTCTTTTCAATGAATTCCTTTTCTTTCAACCTCAAGAGCTCAAGTCTCACCTCTCCTCCTCACTTCAGCAATTCCCAAGATAGAGAGAGAAGACCTTTTTGGCCTCTCACCCATTGTGTCCTTGAGATTATCCAAGCACTAGAGGATTCCCCTAGGAGATTCACTGTGTGGAATGGAAGCACTTAAGGCAAATAAAAGAACTAATTGCATACAAGAATGTGGACTTGGATGGAACGATGTTTAAGCCAGCTCTGAAAGAATCAGGCTGCCAAGAGCAATTTTCTAATCAAAGGAAAATAAAAAGATTCCATCTCTATTTAACTCTAATCCAGAAAATATGTCTTCATGGTGAAGTGGTCTTGAAATGGACTCACCAGCTGAAGTGGAAAAAATTCTAACCGTTCAACATGAGATGGGACCATTGGTAAATGAGTCAAGATGCCAAGAAACACAGGGAAATCTTCAGAAAATATAGGCCTTCTTTTTGTTTTCATTTTGAATGTGTTTTTGTGTTGCCTTTTCTTAGAGAGAAACTGAGAATCTTTCATTGGAAAGTCTTAACTTCAGGGGTGAAGTCTTTCAAGGTTTTCATGGTAAAAATAAACATTCACTTAGAAAAAGTAGATATTCCTAAAACATCCTCCTTTTCTCCTTTATAAACAGTGCCAACAGCATTAAAAGCGTAAGTTATTCGAAATAAGCATTTCTTTGAATAAAATGTCCTTTTCACTTCAGATGATTTTTTGCGTGAAGTAGTTGAGTAGTCAGGCCCAACCATTCAAAATAGTTAAAGAATTTTGACTTTTGCTCCCAGATTTCCAAAATATTCTTAAATGACCTGGGGGATGAACTTTATGCTCTTGGTTCTTTGGGACAGTTTTCCCACCCAGGTATAAAATGTAGAGAGGAATGCTTATCTGAATTCTCAAGGAAGCTTTTCATGGTTTCACAGTTCTAAAGTCCTCAGCACTTCAGAGAAAAAGAACAAATACACAAAACCCCTTGCCCAAAAGCTATTTTCCTTGTGTCTATTCCCATGTCTAATACTATAACCTTTAGACTTCTAAGGAGCAGAGAATATGTAATTATTGTCTGATTCTGTTTTATTGCAGAGGTGACAGACAGAAAGCTGACTGTGGAGGAAGAGGAAGCCAAGAGGATAGCAGAAATGGGAAAGCCAGTGTTGGGTGAACACCCCAAACTGGAGGTCATCATTGAAGAGTCCTATGAGTTCAAGGTCAGGCCAACCATGAGGTCTAACTGAGTGGACAATTGGGTGGGAGTTAGAGGAACTAGGGTTTTGTTCTGACTTCATCACTGACTGTTGAAAATAAACAAATCTCTGACCCACTGAACAAAACATAAGTTGAAACTAATCACTTTCTCATTCTTGTCTGTTTTTCCATTGATAGAATGGAGCAAATAGTGCTGTGTATCAGAAATTCTGTGAGGAATCATTGTTTAACATATGGAATAAATGAGTTAAACATCCTTTTGATGTGCCATCACTATTATTTAATTATATTTTAAAACAAAGATACTGAAATTCACTCCTCCAGAGCAAGAATTTATTGCCATCATTGCCATTATTCTATATTGCATTGCTCTGTATAGCCAAATCCAGCAGTACAACCAAAAAAAATAGGCGTATTCTCCCAGAAGGTATCACCCAAGGGCATTCCATATGCAGCTTTGTTAACTGGCTTCTTTTATGCCCATAAAGCACCAAACTCCTTAGTCTTTGGAGCATTATAACCTCATAGTTCCAAGTTTTTATTTTCTTGACAGAATACAGTGGACAAACTCATCAAGAAGACAAACCTGGCCTTGGTTGTGGGGACCCATTCCTGGAGGGACCAGTTCATGGAGGCCATCACTGTCAGTGCAGGTAAGAGGCTCTCTGGAGGTGGGGGGTAAGGGACCTGGTATTTATAGGAAAAGCAGGCAGCACACAAGAAGGAAGAGTCTAGTCACAACAATAGCTCACCAATGTCTGGGAATGTGTCCAGGGTCCTTACCACTTGTCTTTGCCATTTTCCCATCTGGTGGGGTCACTTTGGAGGAGGATAATAGAGTAACTAGAAAGTGTGACCCTTTTTTCAAGTCCTGGGTCTCTTTCCATCTTTGTGAATGGGGACAGATCATCTTTTCCATGCTTCAACTCCTCCTTCCCAAAGGCATCTGTGTTAGCATTCCCAGAACAGTAAAAGGAAAATAGATGGATGGAAAGGAATGGCCTAGAAGGAACTGAACTACATCCTTGTGGGTATCTTCTTTAAGAACCAAGGCTCTTTTAGCCATGATTAAGCCTGGACCATGTGATGGAAACCCATTCCCAGATCTAACCCTGCTGCTCTCAGGGGCATCTACCTTGTAACTGAAATGACTGTTCTATTCTTGTTGCTCTTATTTTTCTTTTGGGCCCTCCCAATCATGTTCAAGTATCCTGGGGGGTCCAATCATAGATTCTTGGCCAAGTGGACTTGCAGCCCAAGACAGAGGCCTGAGGGTGCAGTGCTGCTCAAGCCCTACAGTGCCAGGATAACATGGGTTACCCTGGAAGTGCTCAGGGGTCTCCCAAACTGTGTTCATCAGTGCTGGATGGACCACATGGTATCAAGGATAAAATCTGGGTCAGGTGCATGCCAACTACACACCCTAATCACCATACTATCTCCTGGGCCCTGAAATGACCAGTATGCCTCTCTATCCTGCTTAAGACACTTCCTGTCCTGACACAGAATGATCTCTCTTATGCAATATAAAGAAATATAGCAGGGGAATAGTAAATACCCAAAGGCAACAATCAGGGAAGGGTATAATCCAACACCGGTAGAGGGAAGTGGGATTCTGGTATCAAACACAAGCTCAATAAATGCTTATAGCCATTCTCCCTTCCTATCCTTCATTTGGTGCACCTTGCTGTGCAATGGGGAACTGGTTCAATTTTCTAAGTATAAAGATTTGCCTTGACTTTGACAAGTCATGCCCTGGATGTTCCTGAATGTGGCCTTTGGTTCCGGTTCCCTCGGGGGTGATCCAAACACAACCTGTGGCCCCAGGCTTAAAGACAGAGGGTTGAAAAGGGGAGGCAGAACTCCAGCCACCACCACCGATACTCCTCAGCACCACTGAGGCCTCCTTGTTCTGCTGAGGGCACCTAGCCTTGTCTCTTCATGAGGCTTTGTTGGCATAGCAACCCGCAGGATCAGATCCCTGGGGCCCAAAGTCCAAGCAAAAGGAGAGAGTTGCTGCTCCACTTTTCACATCAGCTCCTTCAGAAACTCCAAACTCTGTGACCTGAGTTTGCCCTTAAAGAGACAAGAAATGGAATGTAGGTCATGGGCTCTAAAACCCTCCTCTTTCAAATGCTAGCTCTAAGATTCAGAAGCAAGAGGTCATTCAGAAGCAAGTGGACCCCAGCTGGCAGATTCTTCACCTTGACAAAGCTGAGCTGGGTACCCTGTCCTGACACCAGCTTCCTGCAGTTGAGTCAAAACATGATTCTGGATGTCCTTGACATGACCCCCTGCATGCCTCAGAGCATCCCATCCTCCCAGACTGCTGAATGGACACATCTGCCCATGTTTCCTGACAAGGACAAACAGGGCCCTTTCCCACTCTGTGCTGTGCACTATCTGGAGGTGTCACGGGCTCTCAAGGATGCCCACATGATCTAGAATGACAACCACCCCTCTGGAGATAGAGAGTCGCCAGGAGTACAAGGTTATTGTACTGGCATCAGGAAAATTGGAGAGGAGTTCCACATCCAGAGAAGAGTAGATGCTCAGCTGATCACACTTCTTGTCATCCCAGCAATCAAGTCCCCTGGCCTCCAACCCTCTCCTCCCTTGACCCACTGGGTTCTCCCACCCTGCCTCTAAATCTCTTTTTCTAGCTTTTTTTTTTTTGCTTTTTGGGTCACACCCGGCATTGCACAGGGCTTACTCCTGGCTCATGCACTCAGGAATTACTCCTGGCGGTGCTTAGGGGACCATATGGGATGTGAGGCTAATGCCCTACCCATTGTGCTATCACTCCAGCCACAAATAGCATGTTTCTTATTCCTCTGCCCTCTCTCTCCCCATGTACCTGGTGACCTTCATTCAGATTGACCAACAGGACAACTGAACTTATTCCCCCAAATGTTTTGCTGGGTCTGACTCCTTGCTGCCCAGGGAAGGGGTGGCATCTCCTTCCTGCTGTGGTTGGATTTAATGTGCTTAGGCATGGGGAACTGACCTGGCTACCCTGGCCTGGGCCTGTTTCTTGCCAGCAGGAGATGAAGATGAGGATGAGTCGGGTGAGGAGAGGCTGCCCTCCTGCTTTGATTACGTCATGCATTTCCTGACTGTCTTCTGGAAGGTTCTGTTCGCCTGTGTGCCACCCACAGAGTACTGCCATGGCTGGGCCTGCTTTGTCGTGTCCATCCTCATCATTGGTATGCTCACAGCCATCATCGGGGACCTAGCCTCCCACTTCGGATGCACCATTGGCCTCAAGGACTCCGTCACAGCTGTTGTTTTTGTGGCATTTGGCACCTCTGTGCCAGGTGAGAATGAGGGAGTGGGGATTGGTTTGCAGTTGGATCAAATGACCCCTACACCATGCATCATTACCTTCCTTACCAACTCAGTAGTGAGCTGAGTAGAGCCTCCATCCCTGAGGTAAACAAGAACCAATCAGAGATGAATGATAATTCTGCTAATAATCATTGCATTTCAGGCACCAGAAACACTAAGCAATGGACATGTTTCATCTCTATAACCTACCCCATGCCCTATTCAGTTATTTCACTTGATAGATAAGGAAACTGAAGCCCACAGAAGGTTAAGTTCCAATTTAAGTATGTACCCCAATTTATTTCCCTTTTTATAGGGGGCAGTGTTCTCAGTAGGTGCCCAGGGGCTGGGGGCGGGGGCTGCTTGGCGAACAGGGTGGTGGTTGAGTACTAGGGCCTGAAGCTGCAACATTACCCAGGTGTTGCAGCGCTGGAGACTACAGGGTCGTCCCTGGTTGTGCTTGGTCATCTTCTAGGGCCACGCCCAGCAATGCTTTGGGGCCTCCAGGACTGCATTCAACATCACACAGGGGCTGATGCTCTGGGAAAATCCTGTGGTGCCAGGAGTTGAACCGGGGTCAGCTGCAGCTGCATGCAAGAGATATGCCTTAAGCCCTGTATCATGTCCCTGGTTTCAAGTGGCCCAATTTCTTAACTTTCACATAATAAGAATGGACCATGAACAGTGTAATTCAAAGACTTTTGGCACTGACTCCCACTGGCAGTCTCTGAGAGGCTCAAAATGAGTCTATCTGAAGATGTCACGGTAGACGTGCCCGCAAGCATCCTCATCCTGCTATGCAGAGGATGCCTGTGAGCATCAGGCCTCCCAGAAAGACAGGTGAAGGGAGCTTACATATGTTTGTCCTTTATCTAATGAATTATATATTCTTTCTTATAAACTCTGAAAGACAAATGTAAATAGTCTTTCATGAGGAAAATATTTACTGAACCAACCAATACCAACACATTTCCCTTTCTATATGGAATTTATAATCTAATGAAGAAGACCACATTCCGTTGCTCTAATTGAATTCGCTTAACAAGTTCTAAAGAAGAAATACGAGTGCTATGCAAGTACAAACCAGGACCCAGGACTAGGCTGGGCCAGGGACAGTGTTTAGAGGGAATGTGTTGGCAGCTGGGCTGGATAGACAAGGAGCAGTTAACAGGAGAAGATTGCATGTTCCCAGGCTCCTTCTCCTTTTGTTGGTTTTGGGACACACCTGGCAGTGCCCAGGGTTTACACTTGACTCTTCACTCAGGAATCACTCCTGGAGGTGCTCAGGAGACCATATGAGGGGCCAGGGATTGAACCTGGGCTGGCCATGGGCAGGCTAATGCCTTACCTGCTATACTCTCCCTCTGGCTCCCCCCAAGCTCCTTTTTCAGTCATGTTTCCGGGGTGCCTGAACCCTTAGTAGAACTAGCCTCTTCCTGGCTGTAGGAAAGCAACACCCTCCTATAGGAGACATATCTTAACAGACAGGACTGCTGGCTGGACCGGAAGAGCACAGGCTTCTGCAGAGGACCTCCATGGGCGTCACACTCCAGGACAATTTCATCCTCAAACTCTCGTCCAGACTGGTGGGGTGATGTGGACACATGAGATTCAGGAGGTTTGGCTGTCATGAAAACAGATGGGTTAACAGTAGGAGATTCTCTGAATAACACGGGAAAGGCTTCATGGAGGGCAAAGCCTTAGTCTCTGTTCTCCACAACTTGAGAGACCTACACTATCAGAGAGGAAGAAACAGATGTGGGGAAAAAGAATGGGGAGAGAAAGAAATTGGAGAAAGGGGACAGAGAGATCGCTCGGGGGGGGGGGGGGGGGGTCAGGGCTGCTTGCCTTGTAAGAGAAGAGAAGAACCCAAGTTTGATCTCTGGCACTGAATGACCTTCTCTGAGCACTGCCAGGTGTGGTCCTGGTAGCCCTTAGCACTGCCAGACCTGAGCACTGAATCATCTGTCCCAGTTAGCCAAGTCCCACCTGGGTTCCCAAAGCACTGCCAGGAAGCACCACCCCCTCCCCCAATGAAGAAACTGCAGAGAGGACCAGAAGCAATAGGAAAAGAGGAACGGAAAAGCAAAGTCACAGACAACATAAAGCAAAAAGAAATTTCCTCTGGGAGGTCTGAGAAAATTGGTGACAAGGAGGCAAGCCCAGGGCAACAGCGATAGTGAAGCAAGTAAGGCACTTGGTGTGTGTGTGTGGTCAACTTGGGATTGATCCCTTGTGCTTCATATGGTCCTCCAAGCCCACTGAGCACAGCCCAGTGTGTCTCACACCCCCAAAAGAGGCAAGCATAGAGCAGATAGGGAGGTATCTTGAGGGGACTCCAGCAGGTAGGGAAGTATCTTTTTATTTTAATTGTTCTTATTTTTTGAATCACCGTGAGATATAGTTACAAGCTTTCATGTTTGAGTTTCAATCACACAATAATCAAACACCCATCCCCCCACCAGTGCACATTCTCTACCACCAATGTCCCCAGTATACCCCACCTTTCCCAACCCTCCCCCGCCTTCGTGGCAGACAATTTCCCCCATACTCACTCTCTCTCTCTCTCTCTCTCTCTCTCTCTCTCTCTCTCTCTCTCTCTCTCTCTCTCTTTGGGCATTAGGGTTTGCAATACAGATAACAAGAGATTATCATGTTTGGTCCTTTATCTACTTCCGGCACACATCTCCCATCCCGACGGATTCCTCCAACCATCATTGTCTTAGTGATTAGGGAGGTATCTTGCGGGGCCTCCAGATGCTTGCAGGTGGCTCCACACCATAGCTGGGAGGAGGAGACGATGGCAGACTATGCTATGGCTTGCTCAACTGGTGGAAAGTCTTGGCTGGGATTTTGTTCTGTTCATGGGCCACACCCGGCATAGTAAGGGCTTACTCCTGGCTCTGCACTCAGGAACCACTTCCGACGAGCTCAGGAGGAACCATATGGGATGCCAGGGATTGAACTCAGGTCAGCTTCTAGCAAGGCAAACAAGCACTCGTCAACCTTCTTTGCTATCACACCAGCCCTTGGCTGAAATTTTTGGAGAGCAGGTCAGAGGCTGGAAAGGGTCTTATGGGAGGGCTTTAGGAACAAAGCCCACTTGCCTACTTCTTTCCTCTGAGACCCTGACCTTCCTTTCCTTGCCTGCTGGCCTCCTTTTCCTTCCCTGTCCCAGACGGTCCTTTCTCTACAAGCCCACACCCCTCCAGGTCCCATGCTCCATGCATCCACTGCCCAGCCTCTTCCCGAGATGCAGTTCACTGCCCATGCTCCTTCCCTAAGCACCCAGCACAGAGCCTGCAAGGCAGCCGAAGTGGAGTGAGTGGTCACCCCCACAAGGACTGTCAGCAGCGCCTGGGATACTCGGAAGTTCCCTGGAGAGGTGTCACGGCATAACAACCTCCTTAGGGAGAACAATAAACCTACTCAGTTTGTCTGCCACCCGGAAAGGCCCGTGGGAATTGAGCAGACTCTGGCAAAGGAGGAGGAGGAGTAGGAGGAGGAGGAGGAGGAGGAGGTGCCAAAACCTAGAGACGCAGCGTGTTGCAGACAGAGCTTGCAAGACCAGGAAGGGAGCCCCCAGATTCTGGCCTCTGGCTGCACTACCTTTTGCACACATACCCCACTCTCCCCTTAATGCAGGGCCCTGCACCTCTCAAGCCTCCCCCACCCCTCCAGCTCCCGTTCTTCTGTGCTCTCTTCCCAGATACGTTTGCCAGCAAAGCAGCGGCTGTCCACGACGTGTACGCCGACGCCTCCATCGGCAACGTCACGGGCAGCAACGCCGTCAACGTCTTCCTGGGCATCGGCCTGGCCTGGTCCGTGGCCGCCATCTACTGGGCCCTGCAGGGACAGGAGTTCCACGTGTCGGCCGGCACGCTGGCCTTCTCCGTCACCCTCTTCACCATCTTCGCTTTCGTCTGCGTCAGCGTGCTCCTGTACCGCCGGCGGCCGCACCTGGGCGGGGAGCTGGGCGGCCCGCGGGGCTGCAAGCTGGCCACCACGTGGCTCTTCGTGAGCCTCTGGCTCCTCTATATACTCTTTGCCACGCTGGAGGCCTATTGCTACATCAAGGGGTTCTGAGCGAAGGGACCAGGCCTCCGGGATTTCTAAGACAAGGGTGCGTCCCTTCTCTTGGGGGGGCACCTCTTTGGGCAGGGGTGTCGGGGAGAGGCCACCGCAGCGCGCGCGCGCCCACACACACACACACACACACACACACACACACACACACACCACCCAGCCCCAGGAATGTCACCCGGCCTTGGCCCTGGCAGTGAACTGAAAGCGCAGTGTCTTCATCACGCCAATGGAATGGAAGAAACACCCACCATACAAAGTATTTAATTCAACACAAACCAACAACGCAACAAACCTCCACTCCATCACCCCACCGGGTCCCTGACCCAGAGCAGAGGTCGGGGGACCCTCTCTCACCACTGGCTTCTGCCTTGCCTTGGGGGTGGGGGCTCCCTGGTGTGTCCCATTCAGTTCCTCGATGTCTCATATTCAGCTGCCAGGCTCAAGCCCCCGTGGGTGGTGGTGCCTGGACTCTTCTCTCTGTGGCTCTGCTTGTTTGGGTTTTGTTGTTGTTGTTGTTGTTGTTGATGTTGCTGTTTGTTCTGTCTTTTTCTTTCCAAAGTTAGTGATAAAGGTGCTGTAACGGGACTTGAGGTCTGAGCTGACAGACATTAGCATGAATTTTATTTTCAGAACCCTCCACCCCCTCACCCACCACCCCAGCCCCACCTTCCCCACTCCGTACCACTCTCACTGGCTAACCGCTGCCCACTCACTCTGGCTCCATAGAGGTCCTGTCTTCCTTCTCTTTCTCCCCACCCCAATACTTTAGAGGGCTGATGGTATGGGGGGAGAGGAGTCAGTCTGCATACACCATCTGCCTCTCCCCCAACTCCCCCACCCCCACCCTCCATAGGGCATGCAGGAATGGGAGCTCCAGGTGGATCCTGTATATGCATACGTTGAAGTCAAGTGAAAAACAAAGATGTCATTATCGTTCTCCCTGCCCAAGCCTCCTTGTGTCTGTGTCTACAATGGCCCTCTTACGTAGAAGCCCTTCAGGTGGAAGCGAGAGGGCAAAAAAAAGGAAAAAGGCAGCTAAAGGGAATATCAAGTAGAAATGCCCCTGGAAGGTACAGGGGTCTGGGCAGGAAATGTTCAACCAGTGGGCCAGGAAAGGCTGGTGCTTCGGGAAACATCCTGTAGCTCCCCTCACCCTTCCCTTCCCTAGTGTGCCCAGCTAAGAGGTCTTGAAGTCATGTGTAAACTTACAGGCTCCTAAGAAAATGAGAGGACTCCTTCCACCTCTGCTGGCCCACATTGAAAAACACTTTCCTGAGAGAGGAACTGCAGCGACTCACCTCTCTGTCCCATTGCTGCTTCTTGTTGAACCTCATGAAGCATTTTTTCCAGTCTGAGGGCTAATTCTTGCCCCCGGGGGGAAAAAAAAAGCGATTTTGCTACCATAAGCTCCATGGAACCTGGACTTGTAGAAAACAGTCTTTTGTGCCCTATTGACCTTTTCCCAACAATTTTTCAAAGGACCTGGCTTTAAGACACACACACACACACACGCACACATACACACACACACACACACACACAAGCTCACCACAAAACTGCCCACAAATCTCTAGGCTTTCTGCATTGACATAAAAACATTTTCTAAGGGGGAAAAAGTCCAAACAACACCTGTTTAATTTTAAATGCATTTTTTTAAGAAAAAAATAACCAAAAAAAGAAACCGTGCTCATGTCATAAGCTATGTTGACAGTCGCCAGTGGAAATGTTGGGTTGGTTTAAAAAATAAAAGCTATACTTATATCTCTCTAAATACAGCTTGTTCTCCCCAGGTTTCTTCGGTGTAGGGGGCTACTTTGGGCTCTTCTGATTGGGTCTTCTGATTGGGAAAAGGATCAGGACTGTGTCTCTCTCTCTTCTTCTGCTTACCCCTGTCTCAAGACACACACAATCTGGGCAGGGTAAGGGTGGAAGATGCAGTGGGAATGTCTTTTAAGCAAGATTCTTTGGGTTGCACGAAATACAATACAACTCACTAAACTAAAGCAAAAAAAATGGAGGAGGGGCCCTTTGAAGACCTTGGAGAGAGGACCCTGGGGGAGGGTAGCTGAGGTAGGGGCGCAGCAGGCCTGTGCATCCTCTCCAAACTCCTAGTCTCCCCTAACCTCCCTTTCCTCTTCCCATCCCCATTCCTCCCCTTCCTGGAGCTGCCTCTGCATTGCTAACCTCAGCCAATGCGGTCACAGGTTTGACTTGACCCCGGCCTCTCTGCTCCATTCCCACTACTTGCTGAACCCTTCCTTTGTCTCTGAGTCTAAATTGCTAGTGGAGAGGACATCACTGGTTCTCCCCTGGGGCCATTCCCAAGAGCAGAAGCCTTTGTAGGGGGTGTGTCATGGGGAAAGGGCTGCCTTCGACTTTGGTGACTTTGTCAGTGGACTTCCTCCATTCCTAGTTTGAATGATTCGGGTCAGGAGAAGAAGAGTGACACATAAACACACAGAAGTGCAGTAAAATCTTAGTCCTCCTCAAAGTATTCCAAGACCAGAACACCCTGAGGCCCAAGAATGAAGGAAGAAACACCCCACACCAGAAGAACTGGGGAGACATTGCTGAGTACTAACTTCAAGTAGGACCTTGCCGGGTACATAAGCGGTGACTGGCTTTGACACAGGTGACTTTGGGCTTGTCTCTATCTGCCAGGGGATCCTGAGAGGGTTTTTAGGGCAAAGAGAGGTTACAGACCATGTCAAAGACTCATTCTGCAACACTCTTTCAGCTGTGGCTTATGACTTCTCACCTGTGTTCAAACTTGTCTCCAGTGGGGCTGAGAAAGCAGCCTCAGGGATTCAAATCCTGCCAGGGAAGATCGCAAAAGACAGTAATGGGGTCTGTAGGCAAAACAACTCAAAAAAAAGTTGGGGGGAAAGAAACAGTTGACTTTAAAAGCTAGTTTGTGTTTCCACCAATAAACAAAATTGAGAATTAAAAAAATAAACAAAAATTTAAAATGGGATGGAAAAGTTGCTCAATAGGCTGGGCATGTGATTCGTATACAAGAGACCCAGGCTCAAATAACAGATTCTATGGTTCCCTGAGCATCACAGGGAGTACTTCTCCATCCCTCACCCTCAGCCCGGTGCCTGGAATAGCCCCAAAACACCTGCGAGCTTATCCCTCAAACTAAGTAAATGAAATGCCCTTTTGCTTAATTTAATGGCAGATGCAAAACAATGAAATCCAGTTTGTCACCATCTCTCCCCTTTATCAAGTCACTCTGGATTATACAGACATTAGGCTTTGTTGAGAGAGAAACTGGTGTGGATCATAGACAGCTAAGATTTTCATTGATGGCTCCTGAAACTCATTTTGTGATTTAATATTAGAGTTTTAAGTTTTAAGTTTATTAAATAGGATAGAACATATAGAGGAGATAGAGAGAAAGAGAGAGTGGGAGAGAGAGAGAGAGAGAGAGAGAGAGATCAAGCTGCTTGTCATCTTTCGCCAATCATTGCAGTGCAAAGTGCACATGTCTCTTTGCAATGCTGATACCACAATTTGTGATTTCTTCACATAAAAAAGACATTGTGGGGCCAGAGAGAGCAGGGAGGTTAAGGCAGTTGCCTTGCATACAAGGCAAGTCAACGGACTGATGTTTCAGTAAGAGCCAAGGTCAGACAGTGGAAATTTCCACCAGGGAAATTTCACTATGATCAAGTGATGTGGGTGGAAGAATCTAATTATAATTAATGCTGGAGAGTTATCTGGTCCCGGGGTCGGGAATGATTCAAAAGACATCATTTGGGGAAGGGCATCCAAAAAATGTTCCTGGGAAACTGCCTCATAAGTACACTATGTAACTTCGATGAGATTTTCAGAAGAGAATAATCAAATTGTCTTTATAGAAAGCCAAGTTAGCCTTTACTCATAAACTCAAAGGGAATTTATCCTTCTGTGTTAAAAATCCAGGAAGGAGAGAATCCAAGGTAAACTTTTGTGCTGCTTCAAAATCCTTAGATTCTGTTAGACAAAGAGTTAGTACAGGTGGCAAGGTGTTTGCCTTGCATGAAGCCAAAAGCTCTTTGAGTCTCAGCATTGCATATGGTCCTTGAGCAGCTCTACGAGTGGTCCCTGAGCACAGAACCAGGAGTAACTTCTGAGCACTGCTGGATGTGGCTCAAATGCCCGCATGTAAATAATCCTTAGATTGTGATATGTAATCTCAGCCTTTTGTGCTGTATCTCAGGTTCTCCCCAACTTCTACACCAGCAGAAACAAAGTAGAAACGGTTGATTCCCAGTTGCTCCCCAGCTTTACTAGGACTACATATTTCAAGAGTGGGATCACTGCCACGTGGGATAAAAATCCATTCTTCTTCTATGATCAGTACCCATGACCAGTCCTTTTTCATCCAGTTCTTTTCTCATGACGATCTATCAGAAGTTGAAATCCAGTGGCCAGCAGTCATGCTATGTCTAATCTATAGGTGCTTTTTATTTAATGGAATAATTATCAGTGCTTTAAAATGGAAACATTTTGTGTAGAAATATGGATTTTAGCTATTTGAACCACACTGAGTGGCACAGTGCCAACTGGCAATGGTGCAGGGAGCTGATGTGTAGATGATCACCTTGCACAGACAGTCTCACTCACGTGATTCACAGGTCCTGCTATGGCTCCTGTAACAGGATTAAGTCTTGAAGTTCAGCATTTGGCCTTTCCCAAGTAAGAACTGGCCTCCACCATTAGGTGGAGACTTGAATTACAGACCTATTATTTAGACCACTTGTGAAATTTTAAACTAGTGACTAACTTCCCCAAGCCTAAATCTGTCCAATCCAAATGAAATTGTTGCAAAGATTAAGCAAACATTATCTCTAGCAATGTTGCTTTACAAATGTTTTTTTCTTTCATCCCACAAGAACGGATTTGTGACAACCCCTTAAAACTTGTGTTGCGGGGGCTGGAGAGATAGCAAAGCAGGTAGGGCGTTTGCCTTGAATGTGGCTGATCTAGGTTCGATTCCCAACATCCCATATGGTCCCCCAAGCACTGCCTGTAGTCATTCCTGAGTGCAGAGCCAAGAGTAACCCCTGAGCATCTCTGGGTGTGACCCCAAAAGCAAAAAAAATCAAATAAAGTTCTTCCCATAAAATATTAAAAAAAAAAAACTTGTGTTGCCAGGTCTGAAATGGGAGAAGCCCCACAGTGCTCCAAAGAGATAGATGAATGACTCCCTACCCCATTCATCATCCCTCCACATATTGGGCCCCATGTGTGCAGTATCCCATGGGAAATGTGAAGACATCCTTCATGATCTTGACTAAGTGACAGAAGCAGGGCTCCAGCACCTGGGCTTGCATGCAACAGAGATGTTAAGACTGAACTTCTGGCCAAGAGGAACCAGGACTCCCTCACCTTATGTCACACAGTCCCCTGACATGGAGATATGAGGCAGGTATGTTTGGTACTAAAGAGGGGCCCAGAAAAGACAACAACCATGTACAGTCCATACTAAGAAGTAGGATAGAACATCACTGTCACTGTCCTCCCCATTGTTCATCGATTTTTCTCGAGCAGGCCCAGTAACATCTCCATTGGAGACTTGGAGACTTTGTTGTTACTGTGTTTGGCATATCGAATACGTCACGGGTAGCTTGCCAGGCTTTGCCATGTGGGCAAGATACTCTTGGAAGCTTGCCAGGCTCTCTGAGAAGGGTGGGGGAATCAAACTCGGGTCAGCCATCTTGGCTGCATGCAAGGCAAATGCTCTACCCGCTGTGCTAGGATAGAACATGATGAACAGAAATACTCATGGGCTTATAGAAGGAATTGATGCCCTAAGACACACACAAAAAAGCTAAGTCTTTCAAATTCATCTCATAAACAAGTAAAAGAACTTGACTTTAACACGTTGGTCTACCAAATTCCAAAGCAACTGCTTACTGTATTTGCTTGTGCCTGCTGGGTACATAAGACCTCCAGGAATGACCTTCATAGTACTAATGAAGAAAATGAAAAGCATAAATAGGAGGACTTGTCCTGAGTCTCCCAGGACTTTTCTGATTTTAGCACTAAAATCCCCACATACCAGGAATTTGTCTCAGTTCTGAAAGACCAGTACGATTGGTCACTGTCAATATTACATAGAAAGTCCTCTCCACAGTGGAAATAATCCAGTGTAATCAATCTGACACCAATTGACTGAACTTACTGGGAGATCAAGGGCACTTCAATTGCCTCTTCTATTAGCTAATGGTTCCCTCATTAGTGGCAAAAGACAGAAAAAAAACTTGGTAAGGGCGCCCAAGTTACTGAACTCATACATAGCCCCCATCCTTTTCTCCAGAGCCATTTTATACAGAGGTCCATTAAAGGAGAATTAGCACAGCAAACAAAAGTCCACTAAGAGTCA